TTGCTGCTTTCAGTATTCTTTGTTCTGAAGATTCAGTGTTTTTACTAAGGATGTGGGGAATTTCTATTCTGGTCCTATCTAATTAGTGTTCTGTGTGCTTCTTATATCTGTATATCTTCCTTAATTTAGGGAAGTTTTCTTCTATAATCCCATTGAAGACCTGGTCAATGCTATTGACCTGAGATTCTTCTCCTTCCTCTATGCTTACATTTGGTCTTTCATGGTGTCCCACATTTCCCACATATTCCATTCTTCTGTTTAAAAATTTTTTTCATATTCTTTGCTTCAGTAGTCCAATTCTTCAACTTTGTCGTCCAGTCCTGATACTGTGTTTTCCATTTCATTCATTCTGCTTGTGAGGTTTTCTCCTGCCATTTCAATTTGACTTACTGAGTTTTTCAATTCCATCTTCATTTTGGTTTGAGTTTTCTCTCTTTTGTGAATTTCCAGTTCTTTTGTGAATTCACATTTCAAGTCCTGAATTGCTTTGTCATTTCAATCAGCCGCATATTTGTATTTTCTTGAACTTCAGTCAAGAGTTTATTCCTATCCTCTTGGAGTTCTTTGAGTTGTTTGTGTGTTTTTAAAGTCACTGAATTCTTTGATCATGTTTCAGATTGTTATTTGAATTCTGTGTCCTGGGTTCCTCTGATGGCTCTCATTCTAGTACATGTCTGTAGGACTGGTGCATTTGGGTGTGGACATATTATCTTGGATTTTCATATTATTTGTGTTTTTGCATTGTGGTCTCAGAATATAGATTTCTTTTGTTAGTTGTGTGTCTGATATGAAATTGTATCCTGCCTTTGTTTAATTGAAATTTGGTTCTGTTTATATTGTTGATGTAGCTTGTTTGTTTTCTGGTTGGGTATGAATAGAGTTGGTTCTCACTTTTGATTTTATTGGCAGGACAGTTTAGTTTCAGGCTGAGTAATCAAGTGCTCTCCAACAGGGCAAAGGGGCCTAGGCCCAATTCAAGACTGTGGGGATCCAGTGGCCTGTTCTGGCAGGCTAGTCCAGAGCCCTCAGGTCAGAGGAGCAGGAGGGGGTCTAGGCCCAAGGCAAGGATGGGGACAGCGTGGGGATGGTCTAACTGGCTAAGCAGAGAAGATGTGAGCCCTGGAGTAGCGAGAATGGCACTGGTCTCAGTGCAGGGGATCAAGACACATGGGTGGGGTCTGACTTACCAGGCTGTTCCAGAGGCTCGAGGGGGGGGTAAGCAGGAGGGTGCCTAGGTCCAAGGCTGGGGTGGGGACAGTGTGGGGAGGGTCTAACTAGCAAGCAAGTAGGTGTGAGCTAACTAACAAGCAAGTAGGTGTGAGCCCTGGAGCAGCTAGAACATAGCTGGGGATCAAGACACAGTGGGTGGAGTCTCTAGACTTACAGTGTCTTGCTAATACATTATAATCTTGCCTACAGATGTTAAGTGAAAAAGTCAAACTCCTAGAAGCAAAGAGTAAAATGGGTAGATGTTTGGGAAATAGTGGTCAATGAAGAAAACACCTCAGTGAAGCAGCGGGATAAGTTTGGGACCCATTACACAGCATGGTGGCTATGGTTAATGTACTACAGGCTTGAAATTGCTAAATGGTCTCACAGACACAAAAAAGAAAGTGAAGGATATGTAATTTCCTTGATTAAACTATTTTACAACATATATGTGTGGAAACAAAAAAAAATTGCATCATATACTATAAGTATATATAATTCTCATTTATTGATTGTACTATAAAATGAAAAGCCTTTTTCTCCATTACAAACACACTTTTTAATGAACTGACTCTTTTAAGTGAGCTAGAAGTGCCCCTCTCTCCATTTCCCCTTGATCCTTGCAATCACAGAATGTGTAGATACTGTGGCTTACTGCTATCTACTAAAACTAGCAAGGAAGTGGAACTGAAGGCTCTAAATCCCTCAGACTTCTATGGGCACACGTGGGGATTTCAGTCACGTCGAATATAGTTTCTTGCTGTTTCTCTTAAAGGATAGAGCAGAACAGATTGAACTGTTGAAACTAGAACATTCAATGGGCACTATTCTAAAAACTTGTTGATTTTGGTTATAGTCGGTTACATTTTAAGATATTTATATTAAATTTAAATTTAGAATAAAAATTTAATAAGCCACTGCTACCATATGCTATAAATACAGAAGTCATGGAACCTAAATGCACCTAAGGCTGTGTGTTAAAATCAGTTCAGAATTTCCTATTTTGAGACTCCTTCCTTGGAACAAGTACACACTGCTATCTCCATGATGAGAAGGCTAGAATGACCCTGGCCTGTGTGATGCTTATGAAATGCCCTGTCACTAGTTATTATAAAAACGACAGTGACTAACTACATCCGACTCCTTTCTATAATATGCATAGAGAAAAAGTCTGTTCTGAATACTAGGAATAGGTATTCTTCAGTGTATAACCACTGACTTCCACCTTTTAGATTCTGAATCATATAGATGGGACATGCTCCCATTTATTATCCTGGTTCAGAAAAAGTTTAACAAGTTTTTTTAAAGATTTACTCAGTTTTAATTTTTAATTATGGATATGCGTATGTGAGGTATGTGCATGTGAGTGCAAGTGACCAGGGAGTCCAGAAAAAGGCATCAGATCCCCTGGAGCTGGTGGTTGTGAGCTATCTGATGTGGGTGTTGGGAAGTGAACTTGGATCCTCTGGAAGAGCAGTAAACGCTCTTAACTACTGAACCATTTCTTCAGGCTCTCAACATTTTTTTTTTTTTATAAATAAATGTGCTACGTTCATACAATGAAATAATATTTATCTATCAAAAAATTGAATCCTGATTCATTGTTACAGTGAATAACCCTTGAAAGCATTGTGCTAAGTGAAGGAGGGCAGAAAAAGGACCCATTCGATGAGTGTTTTCTATCAAATGTCCAAATGTCAAATCTGTAAAGGCAAAAAGTAGAGCACTGGCTGGAAGGGACTGGAGGTGGGCAGAAACAGGGAGTGATCCCTATGGCTGTAGCTTACCATTTTAGTCTTAGAATATTCTAGAATCAGAAAGTGGTGCTACACAGACAATTTTGCATATATTTGCAAAAACATGCTCTTTGATAGTAGACAATATAGTATGTGAAGTATATCTTAATTTAAGGTCTCTCCTCCCCATGAAAGTATCAGTTCTAAGGACCTAACCCTCCTATAAAATGAAAGAAAACAAAACAATAAAAACCCTAGGAAATTGGTTTAAATGTAAGTAAAAGCTATTTTTACTTCAGATATTAGATTACAGGTAATGCAGACTACCATCACTAAAGAGAGTCTTTAAAAAGTTGGATTTTGTGATTGTCAAGGCTTTCCTCTTAGCAACAATTTCTGGTCAGCAGTGAAAGGAAGTATCCTCCAAATAGAACCAAATGATGTAAAAGAGCAGAATCAAGACTGGAGTTCAGGGAGGAGGTCCAGGTGACCAGAACTGTGGCAGAGGATCAGGCAGCTACAGAACCTGGCAGTGTCAGGGTGAGTCTCTAGTTGGGCATCAATCTGTGCAGAACAGTTACCAAGAACAGGGAGGGAAGGCCAGTAATTCCAGATTTCACACAAAGCTGGCAATCACTTAGCACCAAGTAGAGGGACCTAGGGAATAATCCAAAGAAAATTTCCACTTCCTAAAATCAGTATGTATTAGAAAGCTACCTAGGGAATAATCCAAAGAAAATTTCCACTTCCTAAAATCAGTATGTATTAGAAAGCTACAATTATCAAAACGGTGTGTTGCTGGTGTAAGAATCAGCATGTTCATACTACTAAGAAAAGAGCCCAGAAATAGAACCACAAATACACGATCTATTTTTACGAAGTGTCGTGGAAATTGACTAGGGGAAAGGTATTCTTTTCAGCAAATGATTAACTTTATATCCCCTTAGGGAAAAAAGCTTAACTCATACCTCATACTGTACACAAACAGTAACTATAAATGGATCATAGATCTAAATGTAATAACCAAAACTATGACTTTTAGAAAGAAAAAAATGGGGAATAAAAGGATAATGAAAGTTTCATGGGATATAGTAAAAACCTCCATATAGAAAAAAATCCTGTAACTTAAACATTTTGATGGAAACAGCTAAAGAAATAAAAAGACAATCTATATAAGTCAATAAAATATTTATTATACATATTTCTGACAAATTACTTCAATTCAGAAAATATATATTACTCTTACAACCAGATAACAGCACAATTGCCCAAATTTAGCATAAAATTTCTTCCTTTTTTTTTTGAGATAGGGTTTCCGTGTAGCACAAGCTGACCTAGTGACCTAGCTCACTATATAGATCAGGCTGGCCTTGATCTCACAGAGATCCACCTGCCTCTGCTTCCCAAGTGATGAAATTTCTTAATTGAAAAGATATAACCAATAAGTACATAAGAAAATACTCAACAGAATCAGTCAACAGGAAATGCAACCTAAGTCCTAATACCCGCACTCACAAGGACAAAGACACACACACACACACACACACACACACACACACACAAATCAATAAACGTTAAAAAAAATTGAGAGATAAACACTTTAACTTTATTTTAAAATAACCTAATGTATGTCAGTGTTAAATACTTCAGAGTTCATGTTGGGTGAAATAGATTAACTACAACAACCTTGCTAGGAAGCATTCAAAATGTAACAGGCAATGAATTCCTTCTTTATTGTTATCCCATGCTGCATATGTAACTACTGACTGAGCATGAATAACAAAGTTTCATATCACCACAGAACCAGGATCTGGAAGTCAGGCGTATTCTTAACTTGTCTATGTCTTCTCAGACACCAAATCATTGAACTCTGTCTATATAGTTGCATGTTTTTTGACAGCACACTATCTGTTCTGGTACAATTTATAGCACTAATTCCCCTCTCCTAAACATTAATGACCTATCTTCTAGTTAAGCCACCCTAACCCCGCGTTTGAAAGCTGCTTTCACTCATGTTTTCATTGCGCTATGGGCGCTAAAACAACACGTACTCACTTCAATCGTCTTTGCCAGTAAGTGTGTGTGAGCAAAGTTGTGCTTGTACACTTCATTAGCCACAGTGTTCACGTCGACAGCAGCCACCACGTGTGCAGGGACACAGCTTTCTGTAATGAGAAATGCAATGAACCCAGAGGCCTTCAATTCGGTCCTAAAGACATGTCAAAGCAGCAGAGCTCCTGCTGTGCTTTGAGGCTTCCAGTGGGCAGGAGCTCAGACTCCCAAGGCAGGGAGTCAGCGAGGGGAGGAGCTTTGAATCTAGACTTCAGGGCATCTCTCTTGCAGCATTCTAAAGGAGTACCAGTTGGAAAAGAAGAGGTTGAATTATCCCTATTTGCAGATGATATGATATTATACATATGAGATCCCCGAAATTCCACTAGAAGACTGTTAGAATTGATTAATACTTTCAGTAAAGTGACAGGATACAAAAATCAGCAGCCTTTCTATATGGCAATAACAAGCAATCAGAAAAAGTACTTGAGGAAACGCTCCCATTCGCAATAGTTCAAAAAAAAAAAAAATTAGGAATAAACCTAACCAAAGACATTAAAGATCTCTACAATGAAATTTTCAAAACTCTAAAGAAAGAGATAGAGGAAGACACTAGGAGATAGAAAGACCTACCATGCTCATGGATTGGTAGAATCAATATTGTGACTATGACTATCTTACCAAAAGCAATTTATAGATTCAATGCAATCCCAATCAAAATACCCATGACATTCTTCACAGAGATTGACAAAATAATCCTAAAATTCATATGAAATTACAAAAGAGCTCAGATAGCCAAAACAATCTTGGGCAAAAAGAACAATGCTGGGGGGATCACCATACCAGAGCTCAGATTATATTACAGAGCTATAGTCATAAAAACAGCATGGTACTGGCAAAAAATAGACACATAGATCAATGAAACACAAGACCCAAACATGAGTTGATGTAATTTCAGCCACCTGATACTTGACAAAGGTGCTAAAAACATACAACAGAGGAAAGATAGTATCTTCAACAAATGGTGCTGGCAAAACTGGATCTCTGCGGGCAGAAAAATGAAAGTTGACCCTTATCTTTCACTCTGCACAAAAGTCAACTCCAGATGGATCAAAGACCTCAATATAAACCCTGAAATTCTGAAACTGCTAGAAGAAAACATAGGTAGCACCCTCCAAGATACAGGCATAGGAAAGGACTTTCTAAACCAGAAACCAGCTGCTCAGGCACTAAGGTCAGCAATCAGTAAGTGGGACCTCATTAAATTACAAAGTTTCTGTACGGCAAAAGAAACAAATAAGGAAGGGAAGAGGAAACCCACTGAGTGGGGAAAAAATCTTCACCAGCTACACATCAGACCAAGGAATACCATCCAGAATATACAAAGAACTCAAAAAAGAAAGAAATAAGATAAACCACCCAATAAAAAGATGGGCGATAGACCTAAACAGGGAGTTCTCAAGCAAACAAATAAAAATGGCTATGAAGCACCTTAAAAAGTGATCAACATCCTTAGTAATTAGAGAAATGCAAATCAAAACCACTTTAAGATTTCATCTTACCCCAGTCAGACTGGCTAAGATCAAGAGAATGGAAGACTCTAAATGCTGGAGAGTATGTGGAGAAAGAGGAACGCTCATTCACTGCTAGTGGGAATGCAAACTTGTTGCAACCACTGTGGAAAGTGATGTGGAGAACCCTCAAAAAACTAAAAATGAACCTACCATATGATCCAGTGATACCACTCCTTGGCATATACCCAAAGGACTCATTGTACCTCAGAGACACCTATACATCTGTGTTTGTTGCTGCTCTCTTCACAATAGCTAAGAAATGGAAACAACATAAATGTCCCTCAACTGATGAATGGTTACTGAAAATGTGGCACATCTACTCAGTGGCGGTCTACTCAGCAGTAAGAAAGGATGAAACTATGAAATTCGCAGGTAAATGGATGGAGCTAGAGAGTATTATACAAAGTAAAGTAACACAAACGCAGAAAAGCAAGCGAAGCGTGGTCTTCCTCATTTGTGGATTGTAGCACCGAGCCCTTATATGTGAGTATACAAATTCTGACGTAACACCAGGAGCCAGGGAAAGGAAAAGGACACATGGAGGTAAAGGAAAAGAAACACCCTGAAAGGGGGATAGTAGGGAATAGATGTTACCTGAGGGAGGTGGAAAAATGGGTGTAATTGGCAGGGAGGAGAGGAGGGAGGGACATGCAGGGGACATAGTGGTGTTGGGGAGCAAGGGAAGATAGGAAAGATGGCAGGAGTCAGGAGGTACTGGGGGGAGGGTGGGGATAATGGGGCACTGTGACTAGGGAGGGAGGAGGGAGGCCAGGTGGGAGAAAAAAAGAGTAGAGATGAGTGAATCTCGGGGGGCTAGGAAACCTAGAGGGAAAAATGATGCCCTAGAAATCCTATGAGAAATGCATGAAGAGTGTCTGAACATTAATGCATATGTATACCTAGGATCTGCTTGGAAGGGACTGATAGAAGAAACCTCCCTTAGAGTGACAAGCATGCCATACAACACTCATCAAAGAAGCTTCTTTTGTCTGCGTTGGTGGTATAGTGGTGAGCATAGCTGCCTTCCAAAGAAGCTTCTTTTTACAACAGATGGAGGCTGTTGCAGAGTTGCACATCTGGTCAGACATAGACAACATACACCCGGGAGATGCCCAGTACTAGGTGACACATCTGCAGTGAATCTCTACAACCAAGGCTCATGGAACATAGCGGAATAAGGGGTATAGAAAGGGCTTATGCACCCCTCAACTCTCACCAGTGAGGCTTCCCATATACATCAGGGTGTGATACATAGAGAAGGTCACAATTGGCTAAGTTTTAGAGAATAAGAGACTGTAGAGTGTAGGATGGGGCTCCTATATGGACATGGCTCAGGGACCATTGTGGAAGAGGAGGTGGAAAGATTGTAATAGCCAGGGCTGGTTCACAAATATAAGGAGGTGGAGGCTTCCAGGCACCTAAGGCTTGCTCATGTGAGCCTGTGACAGCGGTGGCATCAAATGTGGAACCCATGTGTCAGCTCAATTAAACAAGGGCCCAAAGGGGAGGTGAGAAATTGGTGGCAGGGCAGCACTAGATTGAGAATGATTTAAAACTGATTGCTGCTGGTGACAGAGAGTATGACTTATATACGACCACTGGATGGCCTGACTAGACTCCAGTGGATGCATTTCCACCAAAGGATATTTGGGTACAAACACCTGAATGAATAGGACTCAACATGTATGGCAGTGTGCACAGGGTTCAGTGGGGGAGGGGGAGGCATGGATGGGGGAACGGAGGTCTGGATTTGAGTTGGAAATGTATGAAATTTTAAAAGCTCAATAAAAAATTAATTAATTAATTAAAAAGAAGATTGAAATCTATTCATTACTCTTAGGAGACAGCATTCCTTTCTTCGTAAGCTATATGTTAATGAGTCAAATACAAAGTGTTCTTAAACAGAGAACACCCTAAAAGTCTTTATATTCAACACTATTGTTGTATTTGGTTGCTCAGGTTGTGGTTTTTGTTGTTGTTGCTGTTGTTGTTGTTGTTTGTCTTTTTCAGACAGTGTCTCCCTGTAGCCCCAGCTGGCCTGGAACTCTGCCTCCCAGGTGCTTAGATTAAAGGCATGCACCACCATGCCTCACATAATATTCAGAACTTTATATATAAATAAATTGCCATGTGTTCTTCATCTTCCACCTTTAAGGAAAAATTGATTCACAATACCACTGAAAATGTTTTAAATTTAAGTTTGTTGTTGATTTTAAAAATAATAACAGCTTTATAGAGATAGAATTTACATGCCACAAAAACCAAGCTGCTTAAAACTTCACAATTACCACCCCAATCAAATATCCATAGACCTTGTTTAAAATTAGGGGAAAACATGAGGAATTTTAAACATAAAAGTATCTGAAACTTGGGGCTGGAGAGATGGTTCGGCGATTAAGAGCCCTGGTTGCTCTTGCAAAGGACCCAACATGTACATGGTGGCTAACAACAGTCTGTAATGCCAGTTCCAGGGGATCCAACACCCTCTTCTGACCTCCACAGGAATTGCATGACATGGGTACACTTACTTACAGAATGCAGGCAATACACTCATGCACATGAAATAAAAAATATTTTTAAAAGTATCTGATGTCTAAGAAAACCATCAATAAACATAACATTACACAACCATTTGCTGACCAATGATCAGCTTAACTTGGTCTAAACATTTAAAGAGGGAAAATTAGGTCTAAGGAGCCAGAATTCACACAGAAGTCACCTGCCCAGATCACAGGACACACAAAGAAAGATTCAGGTGCTCAGAAAACAATTGCCACCCTACTCTGAGGCCTAGAAAAGCCAGTCCCAAGAAAAAAGAGGGCTGAAATATCTGCAGATAAGTATTCCCTGTTCTGTAGGCTCAAGGCACTCACGAGTCCCCTGGGTACTCTGCAGGAAAGGAAGGTCCCCTGGGAACATACAGGGCACTGCAGAGTCAGTACTACCAAGGGCAGCTGCCACTGGCTGCATTTAAACTCAATAATTAGTTATTTGCTTCAACAAATATTTGAAGTTATAAGATATATCTTTGTTAAAAAGTTTTTGAGAGACCCGAAGCTAGAAGGCTTCTACACCAGAGGTGTACAAAGATGAGTTTTCAAAATTACAGAACTTACTAAGTCAGGTCAAGAACTAAGCTACTGCAGGAGCTCAGGAGTGAACTTTGCTGTGGTGGTCTGCTGTTCTGTTAACTACAAAGTTACAATACCCAGGATATATCCTGCTTGCAATTCACCTCACAACAGCAGACAGAACTACAAGCAGGCAGGGGTCACCTGGAGGTGGTTATGTGACTTTTCATCTTTTTCAGGCTGACTGGAAATCTAGTCATGTGCTGAATCTATATCATAATCAATAACTAATTTTATGTTCTTGTATTATATGCCTGGAGGACATAAAGTCTGGCAAAAAGCAACTGTCCAATGAGTGTTTCATATGGAGAGGCAAAACCTGATGAACTGAAAAGTCATTTTAGGGAAAGAATGGGTTTTTAAAGTCAGTAAACAAATAGATCTGCTTTCATGGAATGATGGGTGGAT